CATACTAAAAGCCTAGAAAAAATAATCAGCAAGAAGACATCAATTTAGTGCTTAGCAAATGTGGATAGCAGTGATGGAAGAAAATATGTCAACATTGGACAATGTCACATCCCTTGCAATGCAATGATAGAACCGAGTGCCCTTTGCTATTTCTATCTGAAGTTGTCAAGTCAATGGATAAAATGGAAAAACAGTAATACCAATGTGGTGCAAAAATCTCAGGGTGTTATTCCACAATAGGAACACTGGGCTCATTCAGACGTCATCTTAAACTAAGCTATTGTGTTTATAGACAGACCATAAGCAAAGTACCATACCACAGAAATGAAGTAAACACCTTTGTGTGTATAGACAGATGCTACTAAAAGTGCCATCATTAACTCCAAGTCATCGAGCTATTTCAAACATGCATACTCACAAGATGAATTTCATATATAGTCCACAATGGGCAAAGGGTACCATGCTGCGCAATCATGGAGTTACAGAAGCAGCTCCATCTTCCTACAGCGCACCCTCTGTTTAATCGACAAGGAGGACTTCATCATCAGAGGCAGCTGCAACAACAGAGATGAATGTCTGAGACTTGCTAAGGTAGGATGCTACGACCATGGGCCGCCATCTCAACTGCAGGTATAAAAGATGGAACAGATTAATGATGCTACTTCCCTTGCAATGCAATGATAGAACTGGCAGGAGCAGTGCCTGTAGAGCTTCTGCAGATCGGGCGGCGCGCCCTGCAGTCCTGGCGGTGACGGTTTTAGCCCGCCAAGAGGGTTTGGGCGGCGTGTGCCTGCACGTCCGTCGGCAGACGGCACAAGCACGCAAGCAGGTCGGGCGGCGTGTGCTTGTAGATCGGGGGCGGCGCGCCCCTGCAGGTTGAAGGGTGGAGGAGTGCTGCGGGTGGACTGGTGGAGGGGCGGCAGGAGGCTGTAGGTGGAGGGGCGGCGGGAGGGCTGCAGGTTCTAGAGGAGGGGCGGCAGGTGGTTGAGGAGGAACAGTAGCACTGCAAAGTCAAGCGATTTGGGGAGACGAGCGAGGGGGATGAGAGCGCGGATGGCGGCGGGTGAATGGGAGAGGGAGAAAAGCAGATAGGGTTTGGGAGTTGGGGCTGGTGGGTCTTTCGGGCACTGTAATATACCTCAGAGCACTATAGGGGCGGCTGAGCTTATAAGCCGCCCCTACAGTTGAATTTTTTTTTTCAAAATTCTAAATCAAAATGAATTATTCATATGTAAATAATAAATAATATAGTACAAAATTTTATAATTATTTTTTATAAATATATTTACATTTACAATAACTAAAACAACTACAACAGTTTAAAATTGCAAAATTGAATCTTTAAAAATAGTAAAAAAATTTTAAATTTAAAAAAATTAAAATCAAAACTACTAAAATAATTTTGAGACACCAAATGATCTCAAATGAAAATTTGATAAACATCAAAGTTGTAGAGGTCATGAAGATCTACAACTTTTATTTTGGTCATCTTGGCATTTGACAAAATTTAAACCTTTCAAATTTGAAATTTTAAAAAAAGACAAGTTCGAACAAAAATTTGAGACCCAAAATGATTTCAACATAAAAAGAGATGAATACCAAAGTTGTTCAACTCATTAATATCTACCACTTTTATTTTAGTCATCTTGTCATTTAACAAAATTTTAACCTTTCAAATTTGAAATTTTAAAAAACGACAAATTCTAACCAAAATTTGAGACCTAAATTGATTTCAACATAAAAAGAGATGAATACCAAAGTAGTTCAACTCATGAATATCTACAACTTTTATTTTGGTCATTTCTTTATTTAAAAAATTCTTAGCACACATTGTTCACTAATCTTACACATGTCTCATATAGTTTGTAAAACATTATGAGAGATGTGTCACATTTGTGAACAATGTCATTACTACTTTGTCATATGAAGAAATGACCAATACAAAAGTTGTAGATCTTGATGAGTTATTCAACTTTGGTATTTATCACTTTTTCAGCTGAAATCATTTGAGGTACCAAAATCTTGTCTGAAGTTGTATTTTCTTGAAATTTAAAATTTAAATTGTTCAAACTTTTCATATGTATATATTGACAAAACCAAAAAAATAAATTGAAAGATAATGATTTTAGAAAATTTTAGGAAAAAAATCATCAAATTTGGAGTTAGTACGAGGAAGAAAAACTAGTTACAAAGTTGACCTACAGATTAAAAAAATCACACTGTTCACTATGATTATGTAAGGATGATCTAGAACAGTGTGATTTCTCTTTTTAATATGTGGGTAAACTTTGTAACTAGTTGTTCTTCCTCATACTAACTCCACATGTGATGGTTTTTTTTCCTAAAAATTTCTAAAATCATGCTTCAGCATTTAAGTTTGTTCAAACTTGGATGTGACAATGTTTTACACATTTTAAAATTTGAAATTTTATAAGTTCAAACTAAATTTTCAAACCCTAAATGATTTCAGATGTAAAAGTGATGAATACAAAAGTTGTTCAACTCATCAAGATCTACAACTTTTATTTTGGTTATCTTGTCATTTGACTAAATTTGAACCTTTCAAATTTGAAATTTTAAAAAATGACAAGTTCGAACCAAAATTGGAGACCCAAAATGATTTTAACATAAAAAGTGATGAATACCAAAGTTGTTCAACTCATTAATATCTACAACTTTTATTTTAGTCATCTTGTCATTTGACAAATTTTGAACCTTTCAAATTTAAAATTTTGAAAAACAACAAGTTCGAACCAAAATTTGAGACCCAAATTGATTTCCACATAAAAAGTGATGAATACCAAAGTTGTTCAACTCATGAATATCTGTAACTTTTATTTTAGTAATTTCTTCATTTGACAAATTCTTAGTACACATTGTTCACTAATCTTATAAATGTCTCATAGTTTGTAAAATCTTATGAGAGATGTGTCACATTTGTGAACAATTTCATTATCACTTTGTCATATGAAGAAATGACCAATACAAAAGTTGTAGATCTTGCTGAGTTATTCAACTTTGGTATTTATCACTTTTTCAGCTGAAATTATTTGGGGTACCAAAATCTTGTCTGAAGTTGTATTTTTTTTAAATTCAAAATTTAAATTACTTAAACTTTTCATATGTATATGTTGACAAAACCAACAAAATAAATTGATAGAGAATGATTTAAGAAAAAAATCATCAGATTTAGAGTTAGTATAAGGAAGAAAAACTAGTTACAAAGTTGACCCACAGATTAAAAAAAATCATACTATTCACTATGATTATAAGGATCATCTAGAACAGTGTGATTTCTCTTTTTAATATGTAGGTAAACTTTGTAACCAGTTGTTCTCTCTCATACTAACTCCAAATGTAATGGTTTTTTTTCTAAAAATTTCTAAAATCATGCTTCAGCATTTAAGTTTGTTTAAACTTGGATGTGACAATGTTTTACACATTTTAAAATTTGAAATTTAAAATTTGACAAGTTCAAACCAATTTTTCAAACCCTAAATGATTTCAGATGTAAAAGTGATGAATACAAAAGTTGTTCAACTCATCAAGATCTACAACTTTTATTTTGGTTATCTTATTATTTGACTAAATTTATTCGTGCGCCATCAAGAGGCGGTGGTTGTGATTCACCCGCCCTACAGCTTCTAACAAATAGGGCGGTGGTGAGTGACAAATTACCTCTACAAATGGGCACTGCAGGGGCGGCTGATGATTGAACCGCCCCTACAGATCAGCCCCAACTGTAGGGGCGGCTCAGGTTACCAGCCGCCACTACAGTGCCATATGTAGGGGCGGCTGGGCTGATGGGCTCGAGGACGCCCACTGTAGGAGCGCCCTCAACTCCAGCCACCCCTATAGTAAAAAATACTCCTGTTCCTACTGTGAGAATCTGGCGTAGTGAATGGGCCATGGGATTTTTTGAGAAGCAGGACCTTAAGATACATCTTATGATTTAAGAATACACATGATGACACGGATGCAGAGAATTTCATTTTCAAATACAAACGAGTACAAGGTGACTACAATAACGACCGATACAGTCCCTTACAGCAAAGTACAAGGTGACACGAACCGGATACAAAGTCCAGGTCATTTAATAGGAAACAAACAACACTGACGAACTGTGCAGATATTGGCATTTATTGTCTGGCATGCACGAAGACCAGTCTTAACAACTGCATAAAGCGCCTTCTGGAGGTTATTAATCGGATCCAGTAGTCTCAAAAACCTACACAAGGTTAAATTATATACATGATTAATCAAGGGAATGCGTAGAAGTTAGGAAATCTAAAGTTTCAGGGCCGGTTTAGAATATAGGAATTTCACAGGAATTGCGTAGGAATTTCATAGGAATGAGTTCATTTTCACAGAAAAAACATAGGAACAGGAAAAAATCCCCGCATTCCAAACATGGTCTGAACAGTAAATATGCATTCCTATATCTTAATATGTCACAATTTATTTTACTTACACTGTAAATCAAGGGAATATGCCCTATACATCTGGAGTTTTAGCTAAAAAATCAAGGGAATAAACGTATGCATATATAAGAGCATCTCCAAAACTTTCTCTTAAACTGACTCTCTAAATTATCATTTCGAGTCATTAGAATAAAAATCACGCTCTATATCTTTCCACCATCGAATAGCTTCTGTATATATATTGTTGGCACTCTAGAGAGGCATCCTCCCTCTCCATCTATAGGTAGCAAGAAATCTAGAATAGAGGATGACTATTGTTGGACACATAATTAGAGAAGTTGTTGGAGTGTATTTTTGTTTTCACTGGTCTGAATTTTGGCTGAAACTGGCTGAAAAACACTGTTCCGGCTGAATTGTTGTGAGAGAAAAACACTGTTCCGACTGAAAAAACAAGCTGAACAAGCCAAATTTAAGACAAGCGAACGGGGCCAAAATCTCTATCCATATCCATTAGGAAGACTATAAAGGTACTATTTGAGTTGTTCGTATGAATAATCCAGTATTTTACTTACACTAGGTCTAGTAGGCTTCACTGCAGCGAAATAAATAGGCATGTATTTTGAGCTCTGAGATCTTGGTACCGTCTTTCCATACAACTGCTGTGCGTTTGACAATACCCATTGCCATAGTAAGTTCTCCTGTCCCTCCAACAATGCTCCACTCACCATTGATTTGGGAAGTTCCTTGTATTTGGAGTGTGGACCCATTGAACCTGTGTTGCGCACAAAATGATTACGTGATTTGTTATGTATAGTAATTTTTCTCATCAATATATATCATGCGATGAGAAAAATAATTACTTGTGTTAGTTTCAGCTAACCAGTCTAAACTTTTCTGATCAATATATATATATACATCATGCGGTATGTTGACAGAAAGCGAAATACCATGAGTAGGCTTTTGTCTTGAAAAATGAGAATTGAACAAATGAATAACCTGTGGTCCTATGAACATATGCATCATCTTGAAAAAATAACTGCATGATGTTCTACTGGAGAGAGGTTGTGGAAGTACTATACAAAGTTGTGTGTACGTACTACTTACTAAACAATACATTCTCATGTTCTCACCTTTCATCCTCGAACACTAAGCCCAGGGAGTAGTGAAACACCCGGGCGGGAGAATCTGCTACTTGAACACTAGTGCCCTGGAGATGGCCAACGATGTTTGCATCAGGAGTTGCCCCATCGGCTACAGGCCACGAGTAGACCTCGGTTTTGCCCATTATGTTTGACCCCTCTGTGGTCGTTACTCCGTTTTTGTCTGGTCCAGAATGATACACCTCCTTGTTTGTGTATAGAGTCATCTTAAGCTCAGAATGTAGAGGTAGCGCACAAGGAGTAATTGCGCAATAGGCCATGGGTAGTAAGGGACGGAGAGGGTGTGCTGTTTGGATCGGTCAGCTATGTTTTGCTCTTTACTTGTGTCTGAGAATTGAGGAAGGGGTGTGCTGTATTTATAGATAGAAGGAGTGAGGCAGTTGCACAGCTAGCCACAACACGTGGTTTCACACGTGTTTGGAGCCTGCCTTACCATGTGCTTGCCTGCTAGGATCATCAGGGATGAATGGATCGATCCCCTCTTGCAGAACATTTAATTGAGGGGCATGGTAGGCAGTGGCGGATCGAGGCAAAAAAAAAAGATATGGCAAAGTCAATATTACAGATAGTCTCAGCCCATGCCTAAGTCGCCTGCTTCAGGAAAGAGGTCACAGCCTCTGGGAAAAAGGGCGAAGACATCAACCCATGCTTAAGTCGTCCGCGCAATGGGGCTTGGGAGGCGGCAACCTACCAAGGGAGGGCGTGAGCGGGATCATGTTTCTCGGGTATATTTCCCCAGAATTTGACAGATGCTCTCAACCTGACACGCAGGACGCAGGGCGCTAGGCCCTGTCGAGGTTCTGTCCCCTCGCGCCCCCGCTTGCTACATATCTTCAAATTGGCACTATATCAAAATTATTGCATCATCAACTATCGCCGTCTGATCCAAGTGCAACACCAACCATCACCGGTTGATTCAAGTGCATCAGCAATTCGCATCAATATATCATTTAACTTAGATTTGGTAGAGCAAGCATCTTGGTTTGGAGCTTATTAGGTATAGACATATGCAAGGTCAAGAACGTCAAGTAATTTTATTAAACACAATGGAAATAAGCACTTGACGCTGATAGTTTAAAAGGACATAGTCCTCAGGGTTAATAGGACAGTACTAGAAGAAAGGAAACGAACATAGAAAATAAATAAAAAGTGTAGGCCTACTAGAGCAGCTACATTGGTATATGTCAGTAGTCTCAAAGGTCATCAATCTAATGCAATGCCACATAGGATTTTTGATGATGTGGAGGAGAAGAGAATGGCCCTACCAGTGATCCATCAAGAACATGTCGGAATTACTCATCAGCATATGGTAAAATTTATTGCTACTAGTAGTACCCTGCTTGCTTGACTTTGCGTCTGTTAATTATAGGATGATTATTGGCCACACAATCAACTAGATGTGTTTGTTGACAATAAAACTGTAGGTTCGATCCGGTGGAGCAACCATCTTGGTCAAGGTCGTCGAGGAATTAAGTATTTTACATTTTATCTACACTACACACGCATCAAACAACTGGCACTGCCGCACTGGCATTGGTAGGCACATGACCACATACATGCTAACGATCGAAATATTCGCGAATCAAGGAAGTCTGTGAGATTACCAGTAACTTAGTGAGAATTGAAATTGCCCTGAACAATACATTATTCATCATTAGTTGGGCTCATGTTGGCTTCTCGTTTGACTTAATTTCTGTTAATTGGCATCTTCATGAGTGAACTAGACGTTTGGCCACATGGCTAACAACAAACACCTCGAAATTGGCACCATATCAAATTCTGAAGCATCTTGGTTAGGTGCTCTACGCTGGAGAGTCTCTAGGTCGTCGTTCCATTTTATTGAGACATGAACCTCTAGTGTTGGACTTGTGAGGTTAAGATCGGCGAGTAATTATTTATTTTAATTTTACACTTCTTCTATATTTCAGGTGCCTGAATTTTAAGATGATTTCAGGCAACACACTTATGCCACCAACTAGTATAAGTAAATTGTTACTTTTGTGATTTGTTATTTATCTTTGTCTCATAACATATTAAATTTTTGCCCTTGTCTACCTATAAAAATAATTGTAAATTGTTAATTGTCTTTGTGCCAACGTAAATCAGATTTTGTCGGGTTTCTAGTTTTGTCTAACGAGTTTTTTATTCTTGGTACCAAAAATTACAGATTGCACCCAGAGAATTGCAACGAACAAAATCTGCAATTTTAGTATAAAATATATGCAATAAGCGTCGTCTGAAATGAAACTAAAATTCAGGCACCTGAAATTTAGCAAGTCTCTTAATTTTAAATAAAGGTAGCACTTGATGTTTTAATGTTAAAAAGGACAGTCCTCGTTTTGCGGTTACATACATGGGCAGTTCTGAAAGAAAAGAAAGCAAACAGAGATAGGAAATAAAATGAGTCGGCTTACTTGGGCCGCCAAAATTTGGCCTGTTCTAGACACGGCTGACACTAGCCATTTTAGGGTCTTCCTGCCAACGGTATGCTTACATGTCATCCTTCTGTCCTTGCCTAATGTTGCTACTTTCTTCAATATTCATTCATCGCTGCTCATACTGAAGTACTAGCTCAGGACATTATAGGAGGAGCTAGTTTGACACGACTAGCTCAGCTACAAGCTAAGAGCAAGTAAGTAGGCTGAGTGCTGGAAGTAAGCTGAATACTCCATCAGTTCAAATTACAAGTCGCTTAGACTTTTTTTTTCATCCGTTTTGCTATGTATTTAAACATATTATTATATTAAGATATATAGCAAAACGGATGAACTAAAAAAGTCAAAGCGACTTATAATTTAGAATGCAGGGAGTATTGAGGTGGAGGAGAGAGGAGAGGAAATAGAGGAGAAGTGGGCTGAAAGCTTACAACCAGCTTACAGACAAGAACTAAAAAAATTTATGGGAGAGATAAGTGAATCATGAATTAATACTAAAGAGGTAACTACTATATAAGTGGACTTAGAGGTAGGATGCAAAGATCTTTTAGCTAGCAGCCAGCTGTAATTAGCCTTGCTCTAATCCAGGACTCTCGCCAGGACAACAATACATCGGCGTGAAGAATGCCTATTGTCTTGCTCGCTCCCTTACAGATTTGCTAAAATAAGTTACTAGATGTGATCAGAAAAAAAATTTACTAGATGCTAAACAAAATTCCGTTGCTGACCTTAACAGCCATCTTAGCATATTTTCAACACACACACACTCTCTCTCTCTATACACACATATACAAACATACATATTCAACCACCAAGTTTATAACAAACAATGAGCTAGCTAGCTCTGTCTAACTATTGCAGATTATAATTTTTTTTAGCTGAATGATCCTAAACGTAAGGAGGAATATAATGATGATCTCACTCGTGGCCCTCACTAAAAACAGTCTTGTCAGCTCTGATTGGCGCAATTAATGGCCAACTAGCACGTTATTGCTTAGCTCTTGACCATATATTTGTCGAAAAGAATTGAACACTAAAAGTCCATTTAGGGGGTGTTCGGTTCTTTAGTCGCTCCTAAAATTTATGTCACGTCAAATGTTTAGAGGCTAATAAGAAGCATTATATATAAATTAATTACAAAACCAATTACATAGATGGAGGCTAATTTCCGAGACGAATTTTTTAAGCCTAATTAATCTATCATTAGCATATGTTTACTGTAGCACCACATTGTCAAATCATGGACTAATTAGGCTTAAAAGATTCGTCTCGCAAATTAGTCGCAAGTTGTGTAATTAGTTTCGTAATTAGTCTATATTTAATACTCCATACATGTGTCCAAACATTCGATGTGACAGGAATTTTAGGAGGAGGGGAAGGAACCAAACAACCCCTTATTTGTGCAGGTAGGGTATGTAAACAATGCATACCTAAATAAATAAATGAAATATACAATTAATTAGTTAAACAGGTTAGCAATAATTAGGAAATACAGTGTGTTCCAAATAACCCACAATGATTTCTTCTTCTCATCAAAGAAATACAACCTGCAGTATCTAAAAACACAACTCGTAGCATGATTTATGTAGCTTAAAAGAAGGGGCCAGTGCAAACCGAATTTGATCTACAGAAGAAATGTATCCTACATCGTTAGTTTTTGGTTAAAAATGATTTCATATTATTGAACGATATAGAAACTAATCTCAAGTTTCCAAAAATCTAAAATTTGTAGGACTACCAAATATGCTCGTGAGTTGCAACGGGAAAGAAATAAATGCTTGTACGTGAGAGTTGTGTAAAAAAAGGAAAAAACATTTATTTGTGCAAATATAATTTTACACTTTGTTCACTTAATTGATAGGTTAGAAGTCCAGGGACAGCAGATCGAACATGTTGCTGCTTTCAATTTATTTTGGTTTGGTTTGCACCAGTGTCACAAAGTTCCCTATACGACGGGTACAAGGAATAGGTACGTGGATCGAAAATTTTAAATTCCCGGTTCATGAGCGTATTTCTCTTCGAGACGATTGATTCGAAGAGTGGAACATGGTCCCTAGATAATTTGGACAATATACCTGGAACGTAGGCTTAGTTCAACAGAGTGGTCCTTCCTGACACCACCGACGGCGAGGGAAGCCAAAGGTACATGAGGAAGGTGCACCATCATGCGGGACCAAAGACGACGTGGAGGCGGATGGGAAAAACGCTGTCTCCCACCGGGGAGCCCAAGTTTCTGAGCCACCTCGCTGGAGGCCCTGTTGGAGGGCGCCACAACAGCGCTCGGAATACATTACGTTGAGCTCGTAACGTCCACGCTGACTTGCTTGGGGGCACCCTAGCAACCCAACGCCATCCACGCCGTGCGCCCAGAGGTGGATTACCGGTTTGGCCCGGCCATGCTGTACATGGTGGAGATGGAGGGCGCCTGTGGTGGCGGTGTTGACAAGGTGGCTGTCATTTGCCACACCGCCAGTGGGACACCGAGCACCTCTCCTTCAAGCTCCTCCGCACCAAGCCTGGCGGCCCGCCAGCTTGCCACGTCATGCCGTATGGGCACATAAGTGTCGGTCAAGAATGGTGGTGGACGCTCATCCAAGTATGCCATCGTTGTTCTGTACTCTCTATTTCTCTGAAGTACAGGAGTAGAGCAGCATCGTCTGTTATAAAATGTTGCATGTTCTTATATCTGCTACCAACGTAAGCAAACAGTTGGTGTAGCTCTCTGCTGTTATGAAACGAATGTATGATTGTTGCGTAGCATATGATTATTTGATATACTTGCATGTTCCACCACCTGTTGCAACTGCAATAAATTTTTCTATATT